AAAAAAAATCAATATTGTATTACTATATATAACTTTCAAATAGTTCACCAAATCTATGAAGATTTGACCTCTTGTAAAAAATGTGATTTCTTTAAAAAGATTTTCAAGGGGTCAGAGAGATAGGACAACAAGTAGGGAACTTGCCCTGCACACAGCTGACATGGGTTCAACCCCCAGCACCTAATACAGACTTATAAGCCCCTCTAGGAGTGATCTTTGAGCTCAGAGTCAGTAGGAAGCCCTGAGAACCACCGGGTATGGCCCTAAAATAAATAAAAATAAATAAAAAGAGTTTCCATTTTGTTCAAGTTTATAAAAGCTGAATTTTATTAGGAGTTTTTTAAATAGAAAAAAATGACCTCTAAACACAGAGATCATCTGTATGCAGAGGATCATATTTGCTACCTTGCACTACCTAGTCCTCTAAGGACTAACAGAAGTGATCCTGAAAACAAAACAAACAGTAGAAATATATAGCTATAAAATATCTATAGCTATAAAAATTGTTAGATGTAACAATTGCATCTAAACTATGGGAAGGTAGACAACACATGAACAAATGTGAAAATATTCCACGTTGCCCTAATAAACATTAGCCTATACTAGTCTCATGGTTTATCATTTAATTCACACTTGCATGGAAGGCTCTAAGCAGACACCTAATACAAAATAATAATAATGATTAGATCCATGTGATGAAAATCATCTCAATAAAAAAAAGTATTGGGGCGGCAGTATTTTTTTCTTGTCTATTCTGGTAAGTTTTTCCTCTTTAATTCAAACCGGGTTTGGCCCTTAGTTATATATGCCAACAGATTCAGTCAATGATAAAGTTAAAAAGGGAAAACAGAGGGTTGATGTTTGTCATAATTCAACTAACTACCTTATTCAACCACTGATATAGTTTGAATGTATGAGTGACATTTGAAGTTTAAATAACTGGCACACTTCTGTAAATTAACAGTCATGGTCCTCCTGTTGTTCATTGATTTGCTCGAGCGGGCCCAGTAATGTCTCCATCATGAGACTTCTTGTTATTGTGTTTGGCATATCGAATACGGGTAGCTTGCCAGGCTCTGCTGTGCGGGCGAGATACTCTCGGTAGCTTGCCAGGATCTCCGAGAGGGGCAGAGGAATCAAACTCGGGTTGGCCATGTTGGCCACTTGTAAGGCAAACACCCTACCACTGTGCTATCGCTCCAGACCAAATTAACAGTACATAAGAAAATTGATAACAAAAATATATAATAAAATATACAACAAAATTACACATAACAAAAATTGGTAAAAAGTTTGTAAAATGTAAATTCTTCATTTCAAATTTTTCAATGATTTATGGTGTTAGAGTATCCTTCGAAATCACAAAATTGTTAGAGATAATCGTAGACTCCACAAGATGGGTATTACAGAAGGAAGGAAGAGAGGAGGAAGATTGTAAAATAATGTCAATCACTGAAATTACCCTTACAATGTTCTAGGCAAGGTTTGAAGCACTAAACTTACTTCTCATAATTACTCTGTCAAAAGATTGACAACAACTATTTCACAGGTCAGGCATCTGAGTCACAGAAGGTAAGTAACGTGCTGCAGGGCTCACGAGAGTAGGTGGCCCTGCTGGAATCTGAGCCAGATGACTTGGCTGCATGTGCCTGTAATCCATGACTTCGGCATTGTCTTCAGTGTTAACACATGTTCCTTTGTTTCATCTATAACCATATGATTTATTAGATTACATCATTCTAATCTCCAATTTAGCTGAAGACCAAGTCTTAGAGCATCATGAATTTATTAAATGACAGTGGAGCTAAAATTCTCAGGAAGGAGGTTCTGCCTCCAAACTCAGAGGATTACTAAAATAATGTTCTTAATGGAATTGGAGGGGGATTTAGGGTCTCTATGGTTCTTCAGAACTTCACACCAATATAAATGATTAATCTTACTGTGGGAGGGAAGGGCTGGAGTGATAGAACAGTGGGTAGGGTGTTTGCCTTGCACACGGTCAACCCGGGTTCGATTCCTCCATCCCTCTAGGAGAGCCCGACAAGCTACCGAGAGTATCTCGCCCACAAGGCAAAGCCTGGCAAGCTACCTGTGACGTATTTGATATGCCAAACACAGTAAAAAGAAGTCTCACAATGGAGATGTTACTGGGCCAGTTTGAGCCAATCAATGAACAACAGGAGAACAGTGCAGTGCAGTGCTACAGTGGGAGGGAGGATCTGTTCTATCAACTATGTAGGAAATTTTACTTTCGGTGTGCCTTATGTGAGGGCATCCTGTATGCAAAACTCATCACATTTCATAATTCATCATTCATTATCTTTTCTCCATAGGCTGTAAGATCTCCTTATTTACTGGTAACAAACTATTTTCTGGGACCAATACTAAATGCTTGCAATATGTAAGTATATAAAATAAAGATCCTTAGCCATTTTTTAATTTTGCAGCCCCAATGCCTAGCTGTGTATCTGGCTCCCATTGGTTCTCAGTAAATATTTACTAAATGAATAAACGAATAAATCAGGAAGGTAAAAATAAAAGGAAAACTACAGAAACAAGAAAATTATATGGGTTTGAGCTATTACTACAAGATTTTTATTAACATCTTAATATTCTTGTGGTTAATAAGGATGATGATTTTTATTATCGAAATCCTCCTTAAAGGTAGAAATGCTACCAAATACACATTAATTCAAAAGTGAACCATGACCCAGATTCTAAAAGTTGTGTGGTTCAGGAGGTAGTACTTATTCCTCTGTTAGCTAAATATACAAATTATATTCTCCAGAGTTTAGCCTATGTATGTGCTCACTGCTTTCCAAAAATGGTGATTTACCCGGGCAAATCTCCCGGCAATTAGAAGTGTTCATCTTAAAGCTTGTTTGACTTTAGCAGTGAGTGAGGTTACAGGCTGCAACCACATTGTTTTTGATGTCCACAATGAGAGACAACAGCATTTCACCTCCATGTAAAATATTAGTAAATTAACAATCTCCCCTCTGAATTCATTTGGGAAATCTGCTTTGCTTGTGATGATGAATGCGACAAACAGGGCTTAATCAGAGACACTTTGGTAACCTTTAAGATACCTATAAGCCTTGCAAACATCAATTAAAACTATGGCTCTTTACCTTGCAGTGGGATCTGAGCTGTAGGGTTAATTTCTTTTTATTTATGACATGGTGCAGAAGCCATCATCATTAATTTGAAAAGAAACAAGCAAACAACACTATCAAAAAATAACCAGAGAAACACCTACCCTAATTTCCTTCAATCCTGCCTATTATTCAGTGTTCTCTTTTGGACTATAAAATGAACTCTAACACTATGAACAATTTTTAGATCTGATCTACAACTCTCTGACATGAAAACTTTGACTCAAGGAGCAAATCCTAATAAATATTTTTGGATAGTGCTAAAAGACAGAAAAAAGACGCTTATTCAAATGTCCTGTCTCTTTCAGACCTAATATCTTAGTCTAATGAAATTAGGTCAGAAGAATTCTATAAACAGACTTTAAAAGATGAACCTGAAAATGAAAAAGCATTTCACGTGCATTTTATTGGGGTGGCAGACATCATTTTTCATCAGATTCCCAACAGGACTTTGTAATACCATTATCCATAACTCTCTGATCTGGTGAGACAAGCCTGAGGGTCAAAGGAAGGGGTGTGCTGAGGTCTGTCACTCTGGCCAGTGTCTGCCATAAAAGGCCTCCTCCACAGGACCTATGGCCTCCTTTGACCTCTCCACATTTTAACATTTGAATCTCTCATGTTATGGGTGTCATAAATGCAGCTGAAATAATGTTTTATATTCTAGTAACTATCAACTAATATTCTTCCCTAGTCTTCCAATGGCTCCTAGTCATAAAAAACACTAAAAATGATGAAAACACTAATACTTACATGTATCAGTGGAGGAGATAAATGGATACCTTCCATTTTCAGACTTTGTTACTATTTTTGTTTTGTTTTTGGGCCACACCCAGTGGTGTTCAGGACTGAACCCAGGCCTCCTGCCTACAAAGCATAGTGCTTCAGTCCAGTGCTCAATTTCTCCAGGCCCTGACTACAAGCCAAACTCTCTGGAAAGTTTTTGCCTGTCAGACTCTCATTTCTTTATGTGACACATTATAATAAACAATGCCTAAACTACAATTTAAGTCCTATATGACATATAAATTATGTGAACTGTTTGTTTTTAAGCCTTTCAATTTTATTAGGTTCTAAAAACATTGGGCTGGTGCAATATCACAGCGGGTAGGGTGTTTGCCTTGCACGCGGCTGAGCTGGGCGACCCGGGTTCGGTTCCTCCACTCTTCTGGGAGAGCCTGGCAAGCTACTGAGACTATTTCACCCATACAGCAAAGCCTTACGAGCTACCCATGATATATTCGATACGCCAAATATAGTAACATCACAATGGAGTTATTACTGGGCCCACTCGAGCAAATCAATGAACAATGGGAGGACAGTGACAATGACAGTGACAGTGACAAAAAACAGTAGAATTAAGAAACTGGCAAATATGGCTTAAAATTAGTCAAAAATCATTCTCAAATTTCTTTTTTTTGTTTTTGATTTTCATTTGGGAAGCTATTGAATTCTAGCCAAGGTTAAAATTTATCATCTTTTGCAAAATTAATGAAATCAAAAGTGTTTTTTTATCATTACAGCTCAAAAAAGGCAAATCAGATCAAAATTATTCTTTCTTTGTCTCTATTCTCTTCAAAAGCCACCTTTCTAAAGTAAAGAGGATATGTAAATGAGAATGTGGACCTCTTAGAAATCTTATTTTAAAAGCAGAGCTTGGGTCCAGCAGGTAGGGCGCTTGCTTTGTACATGGTTGTCCAGGGTTCCAGTCCCAGAACACCACATGGTCCTTGGAACCAGCTGGGAGTGATCTCTGAGTGAAGAGTCAGGAGTAAGCCCTGAGCACCATTGAGCGTGGCCTAAAAACAAACAAACAAACAAGAAAAGAAAACAGAGCTAACTTACTGTCATGATGAGTCCCTTTTCCTGGAAGTATTTAACCAACGGAGCAGCATTTTGTTTGAAGTTCATCAGTCTCCTCTGGGTTGCTTTCAGATTGTCATCGGGCCGCCCCTGTTGCTCTGCACGCTTCAGTAATCGTTCTTTGAGCCTTTGATTGGCACATGCTAAGAATACCACCAAGTCAGGAGTGCAGATCTGTAAAGAGCATTAAACAAGTAGACAGACATTCAACACAGCAACCACCGCAAGTATAGAAAGTGCCACTCATCTCTTGGCTCTGTTCAGGTGGTCATATATTTGGCCTTTTTGTTGTTGTCAGTGTATTTCCAAGGCAACTCATGTACAGAAGGCCAGGAGCAATCATTGCTTCTTTATTCCGTGGAAAGTGGAGAAAATGGCATACACTCTCCACAGAGCCAAACACTGTAGTCCTACATGCTGTATGAAACTACTAATCACCTATGCCCAAGTAAGTTGTCAGGATGAATTTAAAACACAACAGTCCAATCTTTGCCAAAAGTAAACATGTGACCTATTTTAAGAGGGAAGATGATTATTAGGTCTCAGATGTTCTCTACAGTAAATAAGTACTGGTTATATTGTTCTTATCCCTTGTGATTTTATATTTATTTATTTATTTATTTATTTGCAGCACCTGTTAGTGCTCAGGGCTTACTCCTGGCTCAGTGATCCAGGATCATTCCAGTCACGTACAAGGTAAGTGACCTACTCATTGTATTATTGCTCTGGCCCCATTCACTGCCCTTTTATAAGCATCTACTTTCCATGACCACTGCTAAATTATTGCCTGATAATTGTCCAAAACTTTGGAACAATCTGCAAAATAAACACAGCAGGTTATTGAGTAACATCATTTTGTTCAATCAGTTTCTTATAATGTTGTTGAAGAACAATTCCTAGAAATGTTGCATAAAACAACATTAATCAATGACTTGGTTTTATTACATGTCGTTTCACTTAAAGTTGTAGTTTCCACTAATAAGAAGTCTCTGGAGGCTGGGAAACAGAGTTTCTAGATTTTTCTTTGGACTGACTAACTAAGTGATGGGCATATGACCTTATCTCGCTATGCCTTTTTGTTTTTAATCTATTAACAGAGATATGAACCTACCTTTTTATTGTGTTATTATGAATAATTGACAGTGTATACAAAATACATAGCAGAGCCAGACGGTCTTTGCTTTGCACTCAGCCAACACAGATTTGAACCCCATCACCCAATATGGTCCCCTAGCCCCACTATGAATGATACCTGAGTGCAGAGCCAGGAGAAAGTCCTGAGCACTGCCAGGGGTGACCCCCCAAAATGAAAATATATTTAAAATTTTAAAAACAAAATAAAACACAGAGCACAAACTTGATCAATAACAACTGCTCATTTTAGTCTTATTTATTATATCTTGGTTTCCATGATTCCATTACCTTGATTCTCTTTTAACTTTTAGCTTTTTCCTTCCACTCACATTCTTCCCTGAACCCATCTGTGGGGGTGCTCTCAAAGATTTTGACTACTTTTGTGGTGGTGCTTTCCCTCTTCAGGAAAGGACTCCATTCTCTTTTCATTCTTTTGGTTTCCTTCTACTATTCACAGATTGTAAATTGTCATTTCAACACTGATTTCCATCAGCATCTGAGTTCTATTTTTTCCAAAACCCTACTTAATAACTCAACCTATAAATCCTAATATCATCCATGATTCAGCAAAACCAAGCATTTTGCACAAAAGTGAAATTTCTATCATACCTATTGACTACCTTGCATATTCATGTATGTTTATGGGAGCCACACTACTTTCCCAAAAACCCTTGGAGCTAGAAGCTATGGGCAGTATTATCTCTCACTACCATGACTTCATTTTTTTTCAGAGCTTCGGCACCACTTATGCACTTTATCCATAAAACATCATTCAGACTCCTGTTTTCCCAACTTCCGCTGCACCCCTAGACACACACAAGGATGAGTCTGAGAATGAATTTGGAATAATATCCTCCTGATTTTCAACCTAAAATCTATCTGCTATTGCTTGTCCTTGAAAAATTTTCCTATCAATTTTCTAAGCTGTAAATTAAGAAAATATACCAATTTAGAAAAAAAACAAAAACAAAAAGCTTGGGACCAGAGTGATAGACAATGAGTTGAGTATTGTACATAGTAGCCTTGGGCACCCAAATACTATTTGAAAGACTCCCAGTCCCCCAAAGCACAAAAACAAACAAACTTTCTTATTCTTAGTAATCTCTCACATCTGTTCACTAATTATAGCTGCATGCTCTATTAGTACTCTTTTTGGGTTTTATTTTATTTTACTTTTAGTTTTTGTATTACAACCAGCAGTACTTGGGGATCCCTCCTGACTCTGTGCATAGGGAGCACTCCTGGTAATACTCAGGAGACTATATGTGATGGTGGGGATTGAACAAGGGTTGGCCACATGCAAAGCAAGTGCCTTAATGTCTGTAGTATCTTTCTGGTCCCAATACTCGGTTTTAAATGGGAAAATTTATCAAATTATTTACAGTCCCCCTCAATTCAAACATAAGTTGATATTTGACTGTGTTTTAAAAGATGGGAAGTCTCTAAATTTTTTTTTATAAAAAATAAATTATGAAATGTTGAGAAGAATCTGCAAATAAAGTGGCTGTAATAAGTAAGTGTTGATATGCTTTTTTCTTAGCTTATGCTCTCAAGATATATTTGTTGGCTGAATGCACAAGGAAATAAATAATAGACAAATCGATAAAGCTCTTTTGTGTACAATTAAACTTCTCAATTGCTGATACTTCTGCCTTTGACTCCCCTAAAACAATCTCCTCTTTCTCTGTTACTATATAGACTAATATATCCTCTTCTCTCCATTTTCTTAAAGTTCCTTGCCATAATTGTTGCTCTGTTGAAAAGAATTCCTGTCTTGATAAGCAAATTTCTATTTGATAAGCAAAGACATATATGCTGCCTCAGACTGGAACATGAGCTTGTTTTAATATCTTCTCTCTTAACTGTCACTATTTTTGACTACTGTATCCTTATGGAGATGTATTAGAAGGTCTAGACTCCATAATTCAGCTCAGCTACATGCCAGAAAACAAGAAGCAAAGTGCAACTGGCGAAAATATAGAGAAGGAAAAAGGAGAAAGGAAAGGAAAACTTGGAGCAAGAGACAAATGTAGGGGAGGGAGGAAAGGCAGGAAAGAGAGCAAGAGAGCACGCAAGAGAGAGGTAGAGGAGAGGAGAGAGGAGAGAAGAAAAAGAGAGGAAAAGAGATAGAAAATGAAAGATCAAAGATATAAAAAAACTAGAAGGCAATCTATCCCAAATCAACATGAAGCCTGAAGACATTTCCACACAATCTCTTTTTAAAATTTTCTGTGGTTCTCAAATTAATTACTTTTAATAGCAATAATGTTAATGCTTTTTGTATACAGAGTTATACAGATGGTATATTGGATGGTGGGCCCAATATACCAACACCTCCAGCTTTCCCACTCTTTCCCTCCATAAGCCACTGAAAATTTATTTTATTGTATTTATCATTTATTGGGGGTGGGGGAGGCTCCCATCTCCCAAACAGTTCCTAGGATCCAGGTGCTCATCCTTAGATACTCAGTCAACTGGGCCTGCTGATTCAATTTTAGGACCCAGCAATACAATGTCATGCTATTTGGGTCAACTGTGTCACCAAGGCCACACTCAATGGCACTAAAGGGGTCCTTGGAGTGCCTGGGATTGAACTCTGGACCTGGCACAAGCAGAGTGTATGGCCCTGATTTCTGACCTATTTCCCATGCCCCTTGAAAAAGATCTTTAAACTAGCACATTCATGCTGTCATGTAAGATCTCTCTGAGCAAAGGACAGTCCTTTTCATTACTGGATCACTTTAATAACAAGAACTTCTTCCAAAGGCTGGCTAAGATGTATTTCTCTGTCTGCCAACAGGCATATGTAAAATTATCCCTCACTAAACATTTTTTATCATATATCACTATTACAAGGTCTAAATAAACTCAAAGAAAAATAGATAATTGGACTTCAGTATAACTTCTTGGAGAGATAAATTCTGGCTGAATGGTTAACAGACCACGGGAACAATAGTGTAATCTGGTGTCCACTAGAGAGAAGGGGCTTAAAAGTTTCCACCCATTAACCCCCCCAAGGATTTTGGTTGGAAGCTTAAAAAGTTATATCAGCTGAGTACATATGCACTAGCCCTCATGGACTTAATATTACTTATAATAATATCAATATTTTATGATACTAAAGTGATTAAATGTGCTTAATAGCCAACTAGAAAGGAGAATTAGAACCAATAAAAATTCAGAGAAAAATACTCAGAATAGGATTCTATCCATGGCACAGAAACAAAAAACAAAAATAGAGCAAAGAGGAGAATAAAGCAAGGAAAGGTACAGAAAGGGAAAATATATATAAGACATGGTTAAAAAGTTCTAGAAGAAGAAAGAAGATGAAGAAGCAGAAAATATAATGGCTAAGAATGTTCCAACTGACAAAAGACATCCCATCCCAGATGCATGAAGCAATATAAAAGCCAGGAAGAATAAACAGAAAACTCAGATCAAAGCACATTATGGTGAAATTGATTAAGGCCTAGACAGACCAAAAGAAATCTTTAAAGCACCAAGAAAAATAAAATTAAAAATTATCCCCTTTAGAGGAACAACAACAAAACTGATAGCGAAATTTTCAAAAGAAGAAATGAAAGTGAAAAAATAATAGAATGATTTTTAAAGTGCCAATGTGAAATAACTTCCAACCAAGATTTCCATATCCAATAAGAATGTTTTCTAAAACTAGACATGTTCAAATAAACAGAAATTGAGGAAATCTGTCATAAAACATTCAATACCAATGGAAATATTAAAGGACATTCATCAAGTAGAAGAAAATGATCCAAGGTGAAAAACTGACTCAGAGGAACATATAGAAAAAAACAAAATGGTAAATATGTGGCATAAATCTAAATGAATATTAACCACATGAAAATAGTGAATGCCTTTTGTGGTATATAAAAATAGATGAAAAATCATAGGGCTTTATGGTAAAATAAATTTAACTAATCTTGGACTTCACTTAGAAAGTGGTAAAATCACTGATTCCTATGACATTAAGTAATTTATTGATGCCTTACTCCCTAGAATAGGAGTCAGCAATGGTGCCT